GTCTTTCTCTCTATTTCTTCCATGCTTGTATGGATGTGGTTGATCAGGAAAGTATAGGTAGGGACTTCAAAGGTAGTGACCAAGGGATAGTGAGATGGAATCGTTGCTCTTTCAAGTCCACATCTTTCTAGCAGTACTGTAATCTGTCCTCTGACATGCAGTGGTACAGAGGAAAGGGGGTGATAGGGGAAGTTTAGTCACATAACTGCTTTGAAGGTGTATAAGATGCAATTGTGTAATTAACAGACATACTGAATCCAAGGCAAACAATAGATTATTTGATTGTCCTTAGGTTGATGGCACCATAAAAAAACAAAAACAAAAATAAAACAAAACCAAAAACAACAAAACTGAAGGTAGCGTTGATTTAGTAATAAAATGAACCAAAAGGTTGCTATAAGGAAACATACTTCGGTTGAAAATTAGTATAATGATGCTCCTCTTCTCAGGGGAAACTCATCTTGTCCTTTTCACTTCCTCTTCCACTAAACTTTTATTTGTTTTTGATCCCAGAGATTGAACTCAGGATGCTATGTTTGCAATGCAGGCAGCAGCACTACCGAGCTAAATCCCTGGCTTCCTCTTCCAGTAGGGATTAAGAAAATATGTTCTGGAGTTGTGTCTTAGGCAAATCAGTGTCAGTTTTGAAAATTCATACAAGAAAGGAATCATGAGCCACACCAAACAAGCAGGCTTCTCTATATTTGTAGGCAAAATTCTCTTATTAACTTAAAAACTTTTCCAAATTTAGTGAGATTTTACTTTTTCATATTTCGTGAATGGACTGGGATTAATGCTGGTTAGTTGGTTGATTTGTAACACTGAAAAGCATACATTTCTTATGCTATAATAAAATGAACTATTGTCAGTTACCAAGAGTAACATTGTATAGATTTACAATGCTGAAAAGCTGGAAGATTTTAAGGTTTAATGTGGACTATATCTGTAATAGATACATATTTAGAAAATCTTTTAACTTTCCTTGCTTTAACTAATTAGAACAAGCAAAAAGCTTTTCAATTAGGTAAAAAAAATGAACTAAGGTGATCAAAGTGATTTATTCTTCACCTTTTCCCAAAGTTTGACCAGAGTTTCAACTCTCACAAGTCACTACAGATTTTTTGTAATGATACTAGCTTCTTAAAGGTGAAAGAAGTATGATTTTTGTACTAGATTCAATAAGATTATCTTTAATCTACGAAGTGATGTTCATTTTAAAAATTTAAATATACAATACTTTGTTAGGTAAATTTTATGCAAACGATTACAAGAACAATAACTTGAAACCTGTTTATCAAATTAGTGTATTCACTTCAGAGAATCTAATATTTTTAAATAAAATAATACTACAGATTTGGTAATTTTCTAAATTAGTTTCTTTATAATAAGAATGTTTCTAGTCACTGCCTAGAAAATTGCATTTGGGAATAAAGAACTATTTCCTGAATAATGCCAAGTGATGCAGAAAATGACAGGAAGATAAAGGCAGCTCTTCCCAGCAACATCATAACCAGCAATAGGATGGAGAGGCAGCACCCGCGTGTCTATAAACTCACACTTTCTTAACTGATGTTTCTGCTGCCAAGGTCATCCAACAACTTCTTGCTCCTATTGGCTTCAAAATTATATTACTCCAAGTAAAATGTCTGTGTGCTACTTGTATGACTCAGTGCTAGATTCTTTTCTTTCTTACCGTGCCTTAATTCATCTATTCAGAAACGAACTGCTTTCTCTAGTTGTGAATGTACTTTGGTGAAATCATTGTGGAAAGATACAATATATCAGTCAGTTACTTCTAGTAAGAAGTCAGTTAAAACAGAAATTTCACCTTTGAGTACTGGGAGTGATGGAGCCTAAGAGGATGACCCACCCCACTTTCCTTTAAGGGTTCATGCAGGTAATTGCTGAGGCACTGGCGTTCGCTTAACATCACTGCTTCTGAATCTGAAGTGGGACAGTTTGCCTATGGAGTCTAATGGTTAAGTTCTGGAAAAAAAAGTGGCATGTGTGTTTTTAGCTTCTTTCCAAAGAAATGACCATTTACAACCTAATTAATGACTTAATCTTTGATCATCATTCTTTCTGTATAACATGAACTTACCTATTATTCTTTGTAATGGTATAGGCAACCTTAAATATAGGCACTTTCGTGCACAAAAATAAACCATTCTTGTCTAATTTCTCTATGTATATTAATGCATTTAATACTATCATAAAATAAAAATGAATTTTATTGTTTTATTTGTACTTTCTTTTCATTCCTCTAAGGGAGTATTTTTTAACATACTAAAATTGAGTGCTTCTCAAACAAAACTAGAATTTCTTAGCCTAAAATGAGATGAAATTTTTCTTTGGTTAGACTGTAAAATGACTGTCATACTCATCTCTTAAGAGTTCTTTTGAAAGTTATCAGTGTATATGAGTTTCCATTGAAATTTTAGATAGGACATAGCACTCACAACTGCTAGGGCATAAAAAGTTGAGAAGTGAAAAATGCACATTGCCTTTTTTGAAGGAAAGAATTTACATACTTGCTACCCAAACTTTTTTTTTTGGTTCTGGGGATCAAACTTGGGTCCTTGTGCTTCCTAGGCAGGCGGCGGCACCACTGAGCTAAATCCCCAGCCCTCTCCCAAACTTTCTTGATGAGGAAAAATCCTCTTTACTGTTTTCTCTTTATATAAAGCTGGGTGTTTAAATACATAGTTGTGCATCTGTCATGGGTGAATGGAAACATACATAGTCTTTATTTTTTAGTAGACTATAAATAGCACAACATATCAGAAAAGTAACATTTCCATCATAGTATTATATATGAAAAAATAATACTGATTAGGGCCTAGAATCATAATAGTTGGAGAAAGACCAAACTGGTCATATGATACTCTGAAATGAAAAATATCAGGGAGTTGAAATACCAGAAGTTAACTGTAAGATTGTGTGTGTGTGTGTGATTACTTAGATTTTCTAACAGAATGAAACTGACAACTCAAGTGGCTTTGGATACACATTAGCACTACCAATTTTATTTGTATAAGAAATGACTGGTCACTGATCATTCTCAATGTACTCAGTAATAATTGTTGCTACTGCTTGACAGACCAGTGATATTTCCCCCATGTATTAATGTATAAAAAAATAGAATAGGGAAAAAAATCCTAAGTAGAAATAGTGTAACCTTTAATCTATCAAGGGTCACTAAAATGTTACCACTGGTTATTATAGTTTTCAATTTATTTAAAGTTAAAAAAGTAAACAATTTTTTCTTCAGTTTCAGGACAAGGAACATGCTTGGCAAAACACAAAAAAGCAATAGGAGCCACAAAGTTATATGATTTTTCAGGAAAAGTCTTGATTCAAAAAGGGAACACATTTTGGAAGCTTACAGAATGAAGAAAGAAACTCCTTTTAAAAGAAACTTTGTCAGTTAATTGGTAGAAGTTTGGGAGTAGTAACTTTAATACAAATTACTAGAATTATAACAGATGAATAAAGATTTATTATATGTAAGGAAGAGATGAATGCAAAAGTGGTGAATAAAAGGGCAATTAACTACATGTTTTTTAAGACAACGCAAATGTCAATAGCTGCCTTATTTGTTTCCTTGTCTAAAATTAAGCCTTTGGAATCTCCATCTGAGTCTTGGGGGGGTATTTTAAACTTTACCTTTTCTTGTTATTTATATTAATTTTACATTAATTTTGTTAAATAATCAATTTTCTTTTAAACCCTGGGCCTTGTGCATGCTGGGCAAGTACTCTATCTCAGGATTATATCCTGTCCTAAAATGCTAAATTTAATGTCAATCCTATGCAGGAAAATAAAATGTCTTATGGTCTTCTGGTCAATCAAGGGAATTTAGGAAGGGAATAAATGAAGCAAAGATGAAATGGTCATTGTGCATAGACCATTAATAATTTTAAATTTCTGAGAAACATATTTCCTATGTATAACCAGATTTAGACCCCCCCAAAGTTAAAAGGTTTCTATTATGGGAGAGCATGAAATCCAGTGTTCATCTTTTCAAACAGTTCAGGAAAATGGCTGCCAAGGTCTTTTGTATTAATGTAATATGATTATTTGTTCTACATGCTCAAAAATATGGTTTTCTCACAAGACTTTGTTTTGTTTTGTTTTTGTTTTTTTTGAGACAGGGTCTTACTATGTCATTGAGACTGACCTGGAACTCACTATGTAGCCCATGCTGGTCTCGAACTCACAGTGATCCTCCTGCCTCAGCCTCCCAAGTGCTGGGATTACAGGTGTGCGCCACCATGGCCAGCTCAAAAGACTTTGAATTCGATCAAATTCTGGCTAATGGGGTGAGACCCGAGGAAAAAGTAACTAATAAGATTGTGAAGAGTCTCTGAAGTGGCTCTGTCTTCCAATTCAGACTTAGAATAAGATTACACTACAGTTACCCTACATGCTGAAGCATAGTAAAATGGAACTTTAGTTGCTATGGTTGGAATATAGGCAAATGTATTTTGTCTGTTCAGCAAGAAAAAAACAAGTATCAGAACCCCTTATGTTAATTTCAACCAGTGGTAAGAAAATGTATGGGATGTCTTGCTATGGAAGAGAGGCTCAGGACTCTAAAGCAGCAGCAACTTAAAATTTAGTAATGAAACTTTGGCTTGAAATTAAAAGCAAAGCAAAGAAAAACTTAAACCGGTCTAAGTTGTCTCCTTGAAAGAGGTATGTGGGACTGACCCTCATAAATAAATGCCATCCAATATTAGTTTCCCCTGACTTCCTTCACTGTTATCACCTTCACTGCACAGGAGTTATAGCATTCTTTTATGGTTAAGTTTCATAAATAATGAGAAAACTTTATGTAACAAATACATCATATTTCCCACCCACCCATCAACCCTCCCCAAAATAAGAAAAGTTACATCAAATTAAAAAGTAGCTTCGTGAATGAAGGTACTGCTCTAAGTCGCACTTTTCCTGCAAGTGCAGCCAGTGCCTTTGCGCTGGGTATGAAGGAAAGGAAAAAATTCTCCACATAAACTGAAAAAAATTTAAAAATCAATGTCCGGTTTTAACCAGTCAAAACCGGGCCAAACGGAAGCCGAGACATCTCGGTACTGTCCCATCAGAGGGTCTTTGTAATGCCTGTTCTTCATCCTAATAGGTATCTGTGTCCTTGTGATTGTGAACAATCCATAGATACTTTTTTTTTGTCCTTAAAACATCCTCTGATTGGCAAAATGATGTAATATTTGTTTTAAAAATAGAAAATTAAAATTAAACCAGAAGAAAAGAAAAGAAACACAGTGAGCTTGTTTGGAGTCCATAGGATCCGATCTTGGAAGAGCTCGGAAAATTTGTTGTGTTTTCTCCTGTTTTCAGCTGGAAAAAGGTACTAGAGGTTGCGTTGGTCAAGGAAAGAATTGTAGAGTAGGAAAACCAGGGATATTAATCTAGACTTCAGAGAATTCAAGTGTTAGCTTCATCATCTGTGTCTTCTATCAATACCTTAGTGTCACGAGCCTTGGATCTAGAGGAAGAAAAAAAACCTTAGTTCATTATTAAATACAAATACATTCATTGTATTAGGCAAATTTCCAATCTTACCATTGAACAGACATCCTAAACAAAGCCCTATCTACTACACCAGATGAACTATTCCTGGAGTTTCAATCTCAGTCATTATTAGAAAGACACGCAAAAGAAGGTCAAAGGTCATTTTCAACAGTGAAAGTAATAATTTGGAATAAAATGATCTAGTTTTCAGTACTGATTTTGATTTATAATATATATTTTTAACCTCTTTTAAGTGCCTGTTTCCATTTCTGCAAAGAAGAAATAATAACACCTATTTCACTTAATATCTCTTTCAACTTATGGAGAGAGTAAGTACATCAAGTGAGGAAATGGGAAAAAAATCAATTAAGGCATTAAACAAATATAAGGAATTATGATGAGGATTTTACCACTGATGTGTGCCCGAAAAACTAGGAGAGTTAACCATCAGAAGATAAGATCTAAGGAGAAGCAAGACAGTTTTTTGTCTTCTAATGTCTGGCATAACATGATGCAGAAGAGGGAGGAGTCTCATCATAAATTATGCAAGAGAGCTCAATAAAGATTAAACTGATTAGTTTAATCATGATGAAGCATATTTCATCTCAACATTATCTACTGTTATAACTATCCAACCATAGAATCAAGTACTTCATAGAGTTATAAATTTCATTATCACTGTTAATTGTCAATCAAAACAAAATGATAATTTATTCAAGATGCTATGCAGGGGATATTCTATTCTGAAACTGGATAAAAAATGGGATTAGGTAACATTAAAATAATCTGTAATTCATGAGATCTTTGGAGCAAAAGAAGTATCTGAAGAAAGAGGAGTTGTCACTCTTCCTTGACAGAGGAGGAAACTGATCTTGAAAAGGTTAAGGATATGCAAAATGTTGCATGAGTCATGAAGTCAGAATTCAACTCAGATCTTATTTTAGAGTCCTGCTCTCTGCATTGCACATAACCTGTTCCACTCTAAATGTCTAGTTGAAATCTAGTTTGTCAGTATTTTTCCACTAAACACCTGAAAGTGAAAATAATCTACTGCCAAATAGCCTAGTCCTGAAACAGAAATAGCACATGTTTAGATTGCCCTCTGCTGGTAAATAGCAAGGATTAGCTTTTCAAATGAGGAGCTCAACAAGACTACAGAATACATACAGCACCCGACCCTCCAGCCCTTTATAAGGTTTGTCTTGCTGGCTTCTTTGGTTTTATAACACCACATTCCCTTCTTTCCCTCTTCTCTTTCCTCCCTCCCTCCCTCCTTTTTGATCCCCCCAATTTTTTTTTTTTTTGTACCAGAGATCGAACTTGGGACCTTGAGCTTGCAAGGCAGGTGGCAGAACCACTGAGCTAAATCCCCTGCAGATCCCAAAAATTGAATCCAGGATTGCTCTACCAATGGGCCAGAATCCCCATTCATTTTAAAATTTTGAGACAAGGTCTCACTGAGGTTCTTCTCTTCTGATCGCCCTGTTGTGAGGCCTCACGCTCATGATCTTTCTGTCTCGGACTTCCAAGCAGATGGGATTATAGACATGGGCCACCCCACTAGCACCACACTGCTTTGGTGCTCTTCCTACTGACCTCCCTGACCATGCTGGTCTTTCATTTATTTTTTTGTCTTGCCTAAGACTCATCTCCATGTTCTTGCTTTTTTCTCTTCTCCATCTTTTCTTTCTTTTTCAGTGAACTTCTAAAACTTTATCTAAAGCTTTGGCAAATTCTGTTCTATTCTGCAATATCCACTGGGTTACATATTACCACCACCTCCTTGGTTTTTTTTTTTTAATTCCTTTAAAATGTCTTTTTTCATTCATTACAGTGGATTTTATTAATTTGAGTCATTGTCCCATATTTAAAAATATTGCGATCACCTTTTAGTTGGCTCTCTAGGTCTTTAGTTTTCCCTTTCCTAATACACCTTTCATAGTGTCATTAAAATTTCTAAGGTACTACATTCATGTCATTTTTCCAGGAAAAAATGGGATTCTTTGCCAGGCACTGTAGCATATTTTTATAATCCCAGTTAGAGGCTGAAGCAGGAGTATCTCAAGTTTGAGTCTAATCTGGACACCGTAGTAAGACTGTCTCAAAAATAAAAAGGGCTGAGGATCAAGTTCAGCACTAGAGAACTTGTGTAGCATGCCTGAGATTCTGAGTTTAAGGTCCGCCACCCCCACCCAATCCCCATAAACTGATCATTTCTTGCCTGCAAGATCAAGGTTCCACTATTCGGTCTTTGACAACCATACTTCCTTTAGAAAACTGCTCAACTTAAGCTTCCTCCTTCATTCCAATCTACCAGGCTATCTCTAAACTGTCTCTAAATTTCACAAGCAGTTACCATACATTCTATATTTACTATTACTTTGGGGAACAAAGTCAATGACTAATAAAAATATTATTATAGGTATTTAATAAGATAACATCTTATTAAGCTCTTTTTTTGAAAGAACTAATGTAACTTCCACATAATAATGAATTTAATCCTCAATCTATAAGTAAGGGCTGTATTAATCCCAATTGACAGAGACAGATAATACAGAGAAATTAAGGAATTTAGCTAAAGTTACATAGATAACAGGATACCTAAAATTTATAACTTGAAGGTTATTTATTGTTTATTTTTTTGGTACCAGGGATCGAACTCGGGACCTTGCACTTGTGAGGCAGGTGCCAAGACCACTAAGCTAAATTCCCAGCTCTGATGGTTATTTGTATATAAAACATACTGAAGGCTCAAGTCAATCATTCTCCAGCAAATTCTTCCTTAGACTGTATACTAATTTGTATACATTCAATTAGTAGGTAATATATGACATTTATTCTGTATGTACTGATTTAGAAATTCAGTAAGTTGGGTATACATTTGTTGTTTATTACTATTTTTTGCAGGTGAAATATGATTGAATATCAGCAACTTCATTTGGTTCAACTGGATAGCTTCTTAGCCTAAATGTTATCCAATGATAAAAACCTAAGAAAGAACTGGGAGGAGTGGCACACACCTGTAATCCCAGCACTAGGGAAGTTGAGGCAGAAGAATCACAAGTCTGATGCCAGCCTGGGCTACATAATGAGTTCAAGGCCAGTCTGAACTACACAGTGAGATCCTGTCTCAAAAAAAGAAAAAAACCTAACAAAATAAAACAATAACAATAAAACAAGACAAAAAAGAAAAGAAAATATGCCTTATGTAAGTGGAAGCTGTACATACTGAGAAGTGAGGTGAGGCCGGCGCAGTGAGATGCTCTGGTTGTACTTCCATGACCTATTCTTCTGGCGGTTTCGTACCCCATCATCCTGATCCATCATCTGCTCTAGGAGTGTCTGATCATCTGCATTCAGGGGAGCCACAGAGATGTCCCTCACAGCACGAAATTCACCACAGTTATTTAGATGTTCATTCTCCAGGCGGAAGAAGTTCCAAACAAATCGCCTTAGCAAAATGGGACAAACACATTAATTATAAATCTCAACATACATCTACTAACTGCAAACCTCTACAGTATCAAGTTTCTATTCATGGAAACAAAGAATTAAAGACTGGAATATTCAATCGAAATAGACAAAGATGGTGTAAGGGTGCAGGGGAGCCGTAGTGGATTATGCAAAATGGAGAGATTCTTGGAATGTAGTTTAAAGTACTCGCTATTTTATTTTATTTTATGCAACTTTGAATGCCTACTATAATAAAGGGGAAGGTAGTAAATGAGACAAAACTTTTGCCTTTATTCTGGTAGTGAAAGTAATCAATCATCTGATGAAAAGTACTTTGAAGAAAACGCAGCAGGAAGATTGTTGTAGGTTAGGCAAAGTATGTCTGAAGTGATGGGTTTGGGCAAAAAACCCCAAAAAACAATTGAGTAATACAAGGAACCAAGTCACATACAACTCCTGGAGAAATGTATCCTTGGCAGAGGAAACAGCAAGCATAGAGAGACCCATGATGAAAATGCCTTTGGTGTCCTGGAACAATAGCAAGCAGCTCAGTGGGGCTAGAGTGGAACAAGTGAGGTTAAAATGGCAGCAAATACAGAGAGATAGAAAAGGCCCCATCCACAGAAGACCTTATAAACTATGGTAGAGTTTAGATTTCAAGTTTGATGGAAAACAATGAGAGTTTGAAAAAGAGAATGAAATTATTTATTTTTTAAAAAGATCATTCTATTGGCTGAACAATGAATAGATCAGAGAGAGAAAAGAACAGTTCAAAAACCAAAGAGAAGTCCTTTGTAGAATCATGAAGAGAGTCTTAGCCAAAGGTTGCAATAAAAGAGGTGATGAAAAAACAGACAGACTACAGAATAATTTATGAAGGTGAAGTTGATAGGACTTATTGATAGGGGATATGAGTAGTTGTTGGATTTTTGATCTGAATGAATGGTGAAGCAGGGCTGTTTCTGTTAGTCTAGAGCTATTCAATAGCTACATGAGCATGATGAATCTGTAAAATTTAAGTGAGATTTGGGGGCTAAAGATAGTATAAGGACAATATCTCAAATCATAGGCTTAAAAATAATGTAACTGAAAGGGAAAAGAGGGCAGAGGATTAAACCCAGGAGCTTTCCACCACTTACAAGCTTGGGAAAAGGAAGAATTATTAAAGAAATTGAGAAGGAAAAGCTGGTGGGATGAGAGAATGCAGTTTCTGAGAAGTCAAGTGAAGAAAGTGCTCTGCTGACAGATAAAGTAAGATAAGAACAGAGAAATGATCAAAGGATTAGTAATCTAAGAGCTTTGACTCAGCAAGATTGTCTAGATTCAAATCATGGCTCCACCACTTACTAGCTATCACATCTGTGGATGACTTACTTAGCCTCTACTTCAGTGTCATCAGTAAAGTGGAATAATAATGAAACCTATTTCATAAGATTGTTGTGAGGATTCAATAAAATACTTTTTAGAACAGTGCCAGAGATATAACTGGTGTTGTACAGTTTATTATTATTATAGATTTACATACTAGTACTAATATAGTAACAAAAATGGTATAGTGAGTATCATGAACAAACAGAATTAGGAAGGAGTGAGAGTGGAGACAGCAAGTACAAACATTTATTAAAGAATTGCTCTGTAAAGGAAAAGAGAAAGATAAGTAATAGTTGGAGGTGGAAAGAGTTTTTTGTTTTAGTTTTGAATGGTGATAGAACATGTGACTCTATTATTAAGCAAATAATTTCTTAAAAAAGAAAATTATCAAGGATAAATAACTTTTTAACTAAATTTTTTCTTTCTTTTTTTGTTTTTTCAAATCTATGAAGTAGCACACATGAAAGAGAAAGAAGTGGGTAGGTGCAGATGGTGGCAGGATGGAGGGTTCAAGTCCTAGACCTAGATTTGGGAAAGTAAAGAAGGGAAGAAGGTCTGACAAATGGTCTAAGTTAGAACACTGGAGGCAGCAAGCACACTGTTTTCAGTTGTTCTTTTTAGCTTTATATTTCCAGTTTCTATTATTATTTTCAGGCAATAAATACCCATCCTGACTCAGAAGAGTGCTACATACCTGTGTGAAAATATAATTGGACCAACTCATTTGTGAAGAATCTTTTCACTGGGTAAAGAGTTCTAGGTAGGCAGTCATTTTCTTTCAGCCCACTGAAGATTTCATTTTAATGATTTCTGACTTTCCTTGATGCTGTTGGGAAGTCAGTTATCAGTCTAACTGCTACTTCTCTGAAAGTCATGTTTTTCTCTGGTTGCTTTTTAAAAGTATTTTAAGTAAGTATAACACGTACATATAAAAGTTTGGAAACCGTAAGTTTGTAAGCTTATCATGAAATGAACACACTGTGTAATTACCACCCAGAAATGTGAAATACATTATCATACACCACAAATAACTTTTAGGTCCTCTTTCCATGCTAACTTCTAGAGAATTTACTGATTTAGCTCTACAATTCACCTGGAATTGATTTTGCATTCAATATACAATAGAAATCAGGATTTATTTTCTCCTATATATCTTAAAGGATTTCTCTTTCACTATTGTCATGTAGCCACTTTTGTTATAAATTAGGCAGTGTTGTACTCGCTTTGGCAGCACATATAATAAATTAGGCAGTGTCAACATACATATTGGTTCTGTGTCTCGATTCCCTAACTGATCCCCTAATCGACTCAAATGGACTATTTGGGTTTGATTTGCTGTTTTAAATTTTTTTCTGATTTCTTGAGTTATATACTTTTCTGATACATACATTTAGGGTTATACATTTTCCTTTATGGCTTTTAGCTACATTCTTCACTTCTTGTTATATTTTCAATTTAATTCTATTCAAGATATTTTAAAACAATTTTAATTTTGATCCAGGGGTTATTAGACATGAACTGGTTAATTTCTAAACATGTCAGAATTTTTGGTTATCTTTCATGAGTTTAATCTTCTGAAGTAGTTGAGACTTCCTTTATGACCCAATGTACAGTTAATTTTGGTAAGTGTTCTATATGCATTTAAAAGAACGTGCAGATAGCAGTTTATGGATGCAGTGCTCTACATAGGTAAATTAGGCCATGTTGGTTAACTACTTATTTATTAATGATGGAAATATGTTAAAATTTTCCACTAAAAGTATAATATATTCATCTACTTCTTAGCAAAGTTAATTTTTGCTTTGCATATTTTCTGCATTGTTAGTTGTATACAAATTTGAATTGGCAATCACTAATGAATCTCGGAGCCTCTAGGTCTAGAAAATTTCTTGAGTGCCAAAGTGGCATTAGTTCTTTTTGTTGTTGTTGTTGTTGTTTTGTTTTGTTTAGTTGCTATGTAGTTCAGGCTGGCCTTGAACTCATGGTGATCCTCTTGCCTCAGCCTCCTGACTGCTGGGATGATAGGCATGTGCCGCCATGCCCAGCGGTATTAGTTTATCTTTTTTTTTTGAGACAGGGTCTCACTATTTAGTTCAGGCTGTTCTTAAACTCACTATGTAGTCCAGGATGGCCTCAAACTCACAGTGATCTTCCTGCATCAGCCTTGTGAAGGTTAGGATTACAGGTGTGTGCCACCACACCAGGCTAGTGTTTACTTTGAGGTTCCTGCTTTCATTTAGATTTTGTGCTATTCTGTCAGATTATTGATAGTTTTAGGAAGATTAAAGACATTTTATTCATCATATTTATTTCAGTAAAATACTGGACTGAATAACAGGCCACTAAAATGCAAAAAGTGATTCTCAAAAATTTTAATCCTCTTCTGAGCCTGTTTATCTCCCAATTATTACTCAATGGCACCCACTTACAAGTCATCATCTATAGTAACTGAAACTTTGTAAAAATTAACTTTTAAGTCCTGTAAGCAGGATTTTCCAAATATGAGGATGATGAACAAGTTTGAGTGAAGTTAGAAAATTTAAGCTTTTCAGTATAATAAATTCTCATTTTAAGCAATGGGTATCTTTTAGGTATAAAGAATCTTTGAGAAACCTTCCAATAGTTTGCTTACCGGAAAACCTCAAGAGGGGCAAAGACAGTAGCAATGATGTCCCCAGAATGAGGCAACACAGTTGTAGTGGTAATTGAGATTTGGATAGTCCAAGCAAAGCGTAATATCACATCTTCTATGATGGCACAGTAGTAGTAGGCCTAAGGAATAATAAACAAACTGAATATGATTCCTATCACATTTCTCACAAAGAGGCATGCCTATTAGTAGTACGACTCACACATATTCCACCAATAAGCACAGGATCAAGAGGAAAAAGTTGTTTCCTTTTGAATTTTTCAGAGAAGCATACATTTTAGGAAAATTTCACCACTTTAGTTTTGTCTTAAATTATGTGGTATTCAAAATTAAGTGTTGCTGAATTTAATAATCATTTAACAAATCTTACTCCCGCATTGTATACCAGACTCTTCTAGTCCCCAGAAATATAAGCTAGATGAAAACCCCGTTCAACTGAGATTAATTCTAGAAGGTACATGATGTTAACAACATAATAGATAATGTTAAAGAATATAAGCATTTTTTTTTTCTTTTGGTACCGGGATCGAACTCAGTAAGCACATTTATTAACTGTACTATTTGTACTGTATTTTCAAACTGCCTTACCCTAAATTTGACAAAAAATTTTGCCTTGACTTTGGATGATAGCAAATGAAATTAAACTTGGATTTCACAAACATGGTTGAATTTAAGAAATATTCTTGGGCCAGGGATGTAGCTCAGTGATAAAGTGCTTGCCAAGTATAGAGTAAGCCCTGAGTTCAACATCCAGTATTGTAATAAAAATAAAAGTTCCATTTTTTTTAAAGACATGGAACACAGTGCTCAGCTAATACTTCCAGGTACCAATATTCAGGATTGAGGAGTCCAATTTTAGTTACACAAAGGTCTTAAATACACATGAATTGTAATTCATGGATCTGCTCATTATTAATCTAAATTTGCTCATTAACAGATGTATTTAAAAGCTGTGACTTTTTGGGAAGTTGCACTTCTATGTATTAAATCATAATGTTTATTTAATTTAATTTTAATGATGTAATGCTAGTCATTGTTAGAAAGCTAGTAACAAAAACAGTAATCTTTTCACTTTTTCTATTCCCTAAAGATACATATTTTCAAAATTTATAGTTATTTCTTGTTATTTACCATCCACGTATAAAATATGTATACTAGTCTATCTTGAATTGTCAATTTTAGGTATTATCCAGTAAATTCTGATTGTCAGATTTTATGAGGATTATTATGATTTTAATATATTCATATATCTCTATATACCCTCTCCCACCCTACCACTAAAGTGATAATGCAATTTTTAGTTAAATTCGCATTCAGTATATTCAATACTAGGTCTAAGTGAAGAACTACAATGTGGATTTAAGAGTTAGTCTTAAGCTATTTACAGCTGACTGACATGGTATCTGATACTACCAAAAAATCTGAGATTTTTCTGGAGGAATATATACATATAAAATTTAAGATCAAGAGACACAGAAAAAATTGAATACAGAGACAACAAAAATGGCTCCTGCATCAATATCATGCATTGTTAATTCCTAGAAACTGATTTTAAGGTTCATACAGCTGTGTTATTAATTCTTAACAAAGGTCCACTGGACTCTGTAAGTAGTTTCTTTGCTTCTCCAGCTGGAAGAACTCTATACTAATACTACCTTTTAAAAAAATTGCAGGGGATGTGGTGATCCAGCCGAAGTTTTCTTATAAATTTGCAAACTGAAATGTAGGAAAGCATACCCTATATTTCCTAAGATTATTAAAATATATAATAACAAAGAAACTGAAAGATTCTATTCACTAATTTTATTACATAGAAACCACTAAGTTCAAACTATTTAGAAAGAATATGAATTAACATTTATATAAAGATATGAACAATTCATCTAAGCAAGCATAATAAAAAATAATAAAAAAACAAGGCATGAATAATGTAAGCAGTAATGAAACACACATTTGGTGAGTGCAAGAGGGACATTGTACCTGAACTTGGGCCTACTCTTTGATTACTGATTTTCTTTTCTAATGGGATTCATAAAAATGTCCTTAACATTTTGGTCATACATTTTAAATTTTTACATTAAGATTATTGCTACAGCTTAAGTTAAAAAAATTTTAAAAAATCACTCAATGTCTTTTTCTACCTTCATTTGTACCTCTAAAGTCACTCTACACATCATTCTTTATACCCACTCTCCAACTGTTTATTTTCAATCTTCATGCTTGAAAACAGCCTTACCCATTCAACAACTGAATATTATACATTCACACACATCTTAAAATAAGATTTTGAAGTAATGGTGACATTTTTTTTGGTACCGGGGATGGAACTCAGGACCTTGCACTTGCGAGGCAGGCGGTGGCTCCACTAAGCTAAATCCCCAGCCCGACATTTTTGTATAGTAAAAAATATCAGAAACCCAATCTATACTTTTTTTTAAAAACCCATAACAGAATTAATACATTAAGGGATAATGTAGTCTAACACCTTTATCTGGTAGAATCCACTAGTTTGGTTGCCTAAAGTTATATAGGGAGTCTGAGAGCTAGGATTAGAATTCACATACTAAGATTTCTAGCATTGTTTAGTCTCCTTCAAAGTGTAGTTGTGATATTTATCCTTCACTAAAATATCTCAGCAAAGTATTTTGTTTTTTAATTTTTAAAGTAATATTCTCTTGTCATTTTATTCATATGTAGATAATACCCTAAAATAATTGCTCTAAAATTGTATGTTTTGATTGAATTGACACTTGATTGCAATAAATACTGGTAAACAAAAGAAGCCTTCCTGATGCACCCAATCAGAACCATGAATTCTCTTTCCTTGGACATTCATAACACTGCTTATTTAGTCAAATATGTATTCATTCATTCCATAAATATTAACTCTGCTACAGACTAGGAATTATACTAGGCAGTGAGAAAACAGATACCTTAACAGATAACTATAACATAATGTGATAACTGCTATAACAGAATTTTATATGAGTAAAAAGGATAGTAAGAATGGTTAAACATTATAGGAAAAATAGAGACTTCTTAGAGAAAGTAATCTTTAAACTGATTTTTAAAAAGGAGGAATAGGAGTCAACTTACAAAGCAGACCAAGGGGATAAAGGGTGTTTCAGAGGGAATTCCAATTCCATGTTCAAAATTAAAACTACAGTAAATTATTCTTCTAGTCTTTATCATATTGTATTACATTGTTTACCTGTTTAGAATATAGTTTATAGCCTCCTACGGAAGCAGAATTTTACTTTGTTTTTACTTCCTATAGTGTTCATCAGCAAATATCTAAGTATATTTTTAGTGAATGAATCAGTATTTTTGTTAACTGTTTTTCTAATGGTATTAGGTTATAATTAGGGGTTGGGTTTTATCATAATAGGCTTTAGTGATACACCTAAGTTGTTTTTTTTTTTTTTTTTTTTTTTTTAAATGAACGCAAACACTTTGTACATACTTTTTGAGGATATACAATCTCTTCCCGGAGGAAAGTGTTTTCTCCAGCATTCTTATCAAAGAGACCCCAGTCCATCTTTAGATCCCAGATCAGGGTGTAGCAGGAACTGATGATATAAAAGATGATCCACAGGTAAAGGAACACTGTACTGTCTGAGTGACCTCGTTCTAAAGAAAGAAAAGGAAAAGAGAAAATTACTAGACTTAAGTAAATTTCTTCATTAAATAAAACAAATAAAAAATAATTACTTATAGTATTCTATTTACTTATAGTAAAGGAAGTAAGACTTTTAGGTTTCCTAAGTAGAATCACTGTCCAACAAAGACTAAATAATAAAGGTGATTTTCCTGAGATTCAAACTAATCATCAAACATTTATTGAGTATACAGTATTTGTACAAATATGCACCTGGCATTTGAAAAGTCTATTTTGAATACATAAAAATCTAAAAATTTCAATGTAAATTTTGATGTTATAAAGAATGTCATTTTAATTTTTGCCATCAGGTGGCAGCTTAGTGTAAAAAATGAAAAAGATCCTAGCAACATCACTATCAAAGAATGTGCTGCATGTATTTCAAGAAATTCTTGGGTTGCTTTTACTTTAGAAGAATTCCTTCATACACTTAGATCTTGTCAATAGTCATCGTGAAGGCGATATGATAATTCCAGATAAAAAAGTAGCTGGGCACAGTGGTACACACTTGTAATCCCAGTTCCTTGGGAGACTGAGACAGGAGGACCCCAAGTTCAAGGCCACTCTAGGCAACAACAGCAAAACTGTTGCAAAATAAAAAAAGGATGGGATGTAGCTCAGTGGTAGAGTGCTTGCCTAGCCCTAGGTGTGGGTGGTGGGAAAGAGCCAGAAAGCAATAGACAGATGAGGAATATACCTTTAAAGACACCATCTAATTTTAAAAAGCATTAATTACTGTCAGTTTTCCAAAGGTACAGAAAGCAAAGGCATTATCGTGTATTTCCACAAGCCTTCCTATTAGAGTAGTATTTAATATTTTAAGTAAAGAATGATTCAAAGGTAATTATTAGAAATTTATAATCTAGTAAGTAAAAGAGATATTTGTTATTGATAAATTTGAGATCAACATGAAGTCTAAATTACAAAGTGCAATGAGAACTTCAAGGAGAATGGGAATGTTTCCAACAGTAAGAAATAAGAGGAAGCAGCATTTGAGTTACTTCTAGAAAAAGAAGTAAACAGTATACAAAAGCCAGGCACATGAGGTAAGGTCATTCAAGGCTGAAGGAAGAAAATGAGAAGACATGGGGCAGGAGAGTACAAGGTATGTTTAAAAATCTACAAATAATTTATGTCCACTGCAGGTGACATACAGAGGATATAAGGAAATTGGGATAATTCAAAATAAGGCTGTTGGATGTCTTCTTGGGCCTTAGGATAAGATCTATATTTCTGGGAAAAAATGGTTAGTAAATTACTTGCATCAGAACTACTTAGTTTTTAAAAATAGATACCTCGGAGCTCCAGTGTTATGTTACAATCAGTCTTATCAGTTCATGAAAGCTAATGTGTTAAATTTTCAGAACCTTGGCTATAGTGGAAATATTTATATTTCAGCAAACACACAAAACAGTGCCTACTATCTCCATTCCCTTCTAAGAACTCATTTGTTAAGCAGCACCCCACCCACCCAAAACTGGAGATTAAACCCAGGGCATTCCTACTGAGCTGTAATTCAGCCCTTTTTATTTATTGTTTTGAGACAGTGTCTCACTGTGTTGCTAAGCTGCCCAGTCTAGGTTTGAAACTGCAATCCTCCTGCCTCAGCCTCCCAGAGTTCTGGAATTATAGACGTGCATTATCACGCAGCTCAGCACACCTCTGTTTAGCTTCATCTTTTAGAAAGTCGATAGTAGGGGAAAGCAACTGGTATTTTTAAAATGGTCCACAATACGTGGATATGGTAGTGCATGCCTGTAGTTCTAGCACTGAAGAAGCTGAGGCAGGAGGATTGTGCGTTTGAGGCCAGTTTGGGATGCACACCAATTTTCAGGCCAACCTCAATTATATAGCAAGATCCTGCCTAAAAAAACAAAAACAAAATTCACATCAACAAAAAAGCCATGAAGTGAGTCTAATGAACAGCCCAGCTTCAATATGAACATAATTTAAGCTTAAATTATTTCTACAAAGCCTGTTCTTCATAAAAAGCAAACTGGGTTGAAGATTTAGACCATAGCACTGTATACGAATTTAAAGTATCTAACACTTTACTGATGTAGTCAGATAAATTCTAACATGTTTACTTCATTCTATACAGAGATTCAGAGTCTAGCTGAGTAGTATTGTTCAATAATCAGCATCATGGTTGCATTTTAAAAGCTGCTGTAATTCATCTCCTTACAAAGAATAAAGCAAACTCAGCAACTTAATAAAATTTACTATTCTCATATTTCCAAAACACCTTAACTACAAATTATATTAGCAACTTTTAAAATTGAATGCTTAGTATGTGCATGTACTCTACATATATATATACATATATATATGTGTGTGTATGCATCATGGTTGCATTTTAAAAGCTGCTGTAATTCATCTCCTTACAAAGAATAAAGCAAACTCAGCAACTTAATAAAATACACTATTCTCATATTTCCAAAACACCTTAACTACAAATTATATTAGCAACTTTTAAAATTGAATGCTTAGTATGTGCATGTACTCTACATATATATATACATATATATATGTGTGTGTGTATATACACACACACACACACACACACACACACACTATATTTAATTTTCCCAATAATAAGTTATCATTCGGTTTGCTGGTGAAAGTGAGGACAGAATAGAGTAACAGATACAGTCATCAGGAGGTAACAAAATGGTATTTTTCAATTGAGTAAAGGTAATACTCTCTTATTACTGAAAGCTGACTTTTTTCTTTAAAATTATTTAATAATCAAATGTAAAATATTATATAAAAAGATTGTTTTTTGAAAGTTAAAGGAATTAACAATGAAACTATGAAGCTCGTTTTCTAGTGTCCTAGATTTTAAGTCCTATCCTTTCAGTATAATTCTTAAAGTGGTACAGTGGGTCAAATATTTCCCTCTTTTCTAAGCTCATTTTATTTGTATGAAATTTCTATGTAACACACATGAGGACTTACTGATTTTTACATAAACAAATATTCTTACAGAATATTTTATAGTAAGTAATATTTTATCTCTAAGAATTCTTCAATTGCTAGCATAAATCTGATCTATGAATGCTATATTTTGGTCTTAATTATCACCCTCATTTGATCTTTCTCATCTCCCAAATGAAAACAGCTTCTCCTTCCTTGAAATCATCTGCCTCATTGATATTCTGAGGATATACTGAAAAGATATTATCACTTTAGGCAAGCAATTACATCTTATTCTCTCTTGGCTAACCCTGGTAGTCCACTTTAGTAATGTACAGAATTACAGAAAATCAAGTCATTGCTATTCTACCATAAAATTCTATTACACACCTGCCACGTGAGAAGCATAATCACATCGAACATATTTACAGCAATGATCTCTACTGAATCTAAAATAAATACAAATAAAATTCTTAAAGAGTTTTGTGCCCTAAAGTAAAATAATATGTTGTAAAAGATGATTTAAAAAAAAACAGAAAAATTACATATAGAAATCATCATGACCCATGTTTCAGGAAGGACATTTAGAAAACAGTAACATATAAAGTCTTTTTACTCTTGTAATTATTACTAGCTTTTATTATCTAAAATTAAACAAACAAGCAAACAAAAAAACAAAAAGAAGAGTTTTCAAAGCCTAAACCTTTGGAGGTAAGGTGAATTATGACTGAGTTTATTATTAGCATCTGGCAAATCCTGGAGCTATTTCCCATAACCTGAAAATAAAATCAAGCTACAGAATAATGAGATTAATATTATTCTCTGAAAAATAATATACAGGTGGTTTGCAATTTGTAGTTTTACTCACAGTTATTTACTTTAAAATGGTGTGAAAGCCATATTCATTCAGAAGACACTATACTTTGAATTTTGATCTTTTCTCAGGATAGGGATATGCCATAGGCTAGCTACTCTGCTGCTAGACAGCATCAATGAACATAGCTCTAGTCAGTTATAAGATCATAACTTCAAACAACTGATATTCTACAGGGTATTGTATTGCTAAGCAATGATACTTGGTAAGTTATATGTATTTAGTATATTTTCAACTTCAAATATTTTCAATGCTCTGAGTCAATCTCAATCTTAACTTTAAAATGGTAAAATAGCTCTGTAAAACTATGAAATAACATTAAAAACATTTCTAAGACAGCATGGAAAAACAGAATTTAAAAAATTATACACAGGTGTTAAAGGGTATAGCTCAGTAACAGAGTGCATACTTAGTGTGTATGAGGCCCTGGGTTCAATCTTTAGCACCCAAACCTAAAATCAAACAAAAAAAACCTCCAAAACTACATACACATTATTTCATATTGTAAATAAAATTATATTTGTAGAAAAAGACAGAAGTAGTTATCCCAGACGAGGGTCAAGATTAAGAGAACTCCAACTTTATTTATATATTATTTGAAATTTATCTTTATAAAATATACACATACCCATGCTTTACCTGCATAATTAAAAATAAAAGCAAATGAAGAAAGTGGGGTAGGAAAAAATACTTGTTACTAGGGTGATGATATTTTATAAGTGTGTACAATAAGCTACATATTTATTATGTAGGTATTCTACTTAACTCCAAAGAAAGATCTGCTCCCTGGTATATTCTAAAAACATGGGCCAAAGGTCTGCTGGGTAACTAGGTATATTAAGGGCTAAGTCTAAAAGAGGAGAGATAAAGTAGACAAAACACATTGGGAAAGTACAATTATAGAACTGTACATAGAGGAGTAATCAGTCAGTAAGCCAAGATATTAGGAGGATAAATGGCTGGGAACATCCTCTTGAAGGAGCAGAATGTTGAAAGGACTTGAGGCAATCAGGCTTATGGGGCACAGAGAAACACTTCTGGGAGTAGGGCTGTAGCTCAGTGATAGAGTATTGGCCAAACACCCATGAGACTCTGCATTCAATCCCCTAGAGTACTCAAGGAGAGGGATAGGTGAGGAGGGAGGAAGTGAAAGATGAAGAAGCGTTTGTCTTTCCCTATGTT